TTTTTTTTCACTACAAAATGGCCTTTCATTTATATCCTCTCTTTTATTTAGTTTGGTCAGAAATGGGTATTCCATTGTCATTCAAATATTGTAGGTATGTGAATTCATCAAAATAATCCAATATAGTACAGTAGTCATAATAGTAGTGGGTTATCTGCAGAACTGGCAATGTCAGCAGTTGTTGACTTGAGCCTTTTACAGCTCAGCATAATAACATGGCTTTGCTTTTTATACCTCATTTTTATACTTTTCTGCTGAATGATTAACACCAAGATAAAACAAGGCCTATATGACAAAAAATGTAACTTTTGTATCCGACAAGGTCAGTTAAATCAGGATTTACCCTGAAACCCTGTGCAGCAGTTTGTAGATCTTTTGTCAGTGTCAGCCATGTGGATGAGTCATGGCCACTGCTTTCCCAAATACGGAGAAACAATCCGACATTCAGGTAACTGAAGCATACAGAACACCAAATAACATCAACCCAACTAAAAACACACCCAGACATATAATAGTCTAGATCCCAGAAATCCAGCACAAGAACATGATGCCGAAAGTCACTAGAGAAAAGAAATAGATCACATTTAAAGAAAACCCATCAAATAACAGCAGACTGTTTTTCACAAACCATGAAGTCAAGAAGAACATGGAGCAGAGTACTTCAAGTCTTCTAAGAAAAAAATTCCAGCCCAGACTACTATACCATGCAAAACTCTCTTTCAAGTTTGATGGAGAAGTGAAATACTTCCATGACAAAGAACAACTAAAGAATTTCATGACAGCAAGCCAACACTATACAGACAATAATAATTCTAGAGATATTCTAGAGAGGGACTAAAATGACCAGAACTCCATGAATGAGAAGGGAAAGAACCTACCAAATAGGACAAACAATTAAACACAGGAGAAAGAGGGGTAAACAACAGCAGGTAAATAACACGTCAATTATAAGTCAATACATCTTAATTATAACCATCAATGTAAATGGACTCAATTCACCTATTAGCCTGAGGCTTTTAGAGCAGAAATGAAAATAACAAAACTAGAAGATGAAACCCCAAAATGACAAGTTGAATCACAATTATGTCCTTACTATAACTGATATCACAACAATGAATGTATTGCAAGAGAGCACTATGCAAATCTGTTACAACTACTCCATCTGTGTAGTAAATATGATTTATAATTTTTATAGTTGTCTTAGTTACTCTTCTCTCGTTGCTGGGACAAATACCTGACACTCAAAATGAAGAAAGGAAAGGTTTATTTAGCTCACAGTTACTGGAGGTTTCAGTCAATACTCAGCTGGGTCCAACACAGAGCAGCACAGGGCAGAAAGCAACCTTTCATGGCAGTGGCAAAGAGCAAGAGAGCAAGGGCTGGGTAGCAGCAGCTCAAGCAGCTAGCTTCTCTTCCCACCTTACATTGTAATGCAAATTACCTGCCCTAGGGTAGGGGAAGTACTTACACCTATGGGTACTTCCCAGTATTTACCCAGCTATGGGTAGTCCCAGCAGTACTAAGACCCATAATCCCAGCCTTGGATCACACATAATCCCAGTGGATCATGAGTTAACACAAACTCACCCCATGACTACATGAGGCTTTGGGGGGACAACGAGACACAAACCATAACAATAGTGAAAACAGTAAGTAGACATCAAAGTCACAAAGCTATAATTTAAACCCTGTCTTTGCCATTGTCTACATATCTCCTTAATCTTTAAACACTAATAATGTTCCTCTGGGTTTCCACTGCTTCATCTATCATGAGAGAACAGTAATAATACCTGAGAGAATCAATACATTAAATGAGATAACCCAGTAAGGTTATAAATTATATATTTTTTGTTTGTTTTTATGGCTTGGGTTTTTTTGATACAGGTTTTGCTACATAGTTCAGGCTGGCCTTGAACTCACTATGTAGCTTGGCCTAGCCTCAAATTTATACGCAATCCTCCCACCTTTGTTTTCTGAATGTTGGGATTATGAAGGTGCACCACTGTGTGCACAAAAGATGCTTCAATAAATGAGTATAACTAAACTGAAGTTTTGTGGTTGATGTGAAAATCAGGCATACTTAGTGATGTCTATAATGGGAAAAGGTAACAGAAGAGCCAGTGTGAAGCAAAAGTTTCAGTGTACCTGAGGAGTTTTGTTTTGTTGATACTGAGGATCAATCTTGGGACCCTGCGCTTGCCAGGAAGTCACTGATGCTGCTGAGTAATATTCCGGGCACTGTGCCTGAGGTTTTAAAATGTCTAAACAAATTAATTTCATTAGTGCAAAGAATTCTGGTGTTTACACAAAGAGACTGAGAGTTAGAGAATCTCTGCTTACGTCTTGCTGGAACATCTTCCACCTATAGTACTTTATCACTGAAAACCCCAGTGTTCTCAAACTTCAAAAGGAGGTCACTTACCTCCTTGAATAATCGCCTATACCAAATAAACGTTATGCACCATTCTGTATTAGAATCTTGTTTGTTTGGAAATAAATGATCATAACTAAATTGTGTCATTTGTTTCTGAACTTTGCACAGATTGAAGATAATTTTTACATTCTTTCTGGCATGGAAATATCAGTTCATAGAAACTTACTATGGAATTTTTAAAATAATTTCCCCATGTGAATGTTGTCACAAATCTTTCTACATTACCACTTGTATATATTAAAAAAAAAAAAAAAAAACAACTAAGGTTTCATGTCAGCTCTGCTCTGCCAGTATCCATTAAAAATTAATGAAAAAAATTACCACCTTAATTGATAGGCACAAGAGAAGTTCCTCACTCAGAAAAAAAAATTTACAATGATTATTCATCAAATTAAGATAAATTAGAAACGATTTAATTTCTAATTGATATTATTAGACCATTACTTCTCCATTTGCATCTGGACATATACCAAGAGAGACCAGCCTAAGTGTTTTCAGAACAAAAATGAAAAACATAATAATACCAGCGTCAAATTTCTTCATCTAATCCTCCAAATGAACATTACATTCCTTTAGCAAAGAACACCAAATAAGTAAAATATATTTTCAACTAAGTAACTCACAAATAGTACAAATGAACTTTAATATGAGTAAAAGCATGGCTGTCACTTTCAAGATCAGTGATTTGGGTTAATAACTTTAATAACATTTTTAAGTAAAAATAAAAATTGACTCTGTGCACCCAAGGTGATAGCTCAGTGGCATAAGCACCTAGCCTGGCAACTGCAAGGTCCTGAGTTGGATCCTTGGTACCGTAAAAGAGAAGGAGAGACAGAGAAAGAGACAGAGACAGAGAGAGAGAGAGAGACAGACAGAGAGAGAGAGACAGAGACAGAGACCGAGAGACCGAGAGAGAGAGACAGAGAGAGAGAGAGAGAGACAGACAGAGACAGAGACAGAGACAGAGACAGAGACAGAGACAGAGGCAGAGACAGACAGACAGACAGACAGACATTGCTACTTTAAGTTGTGGAAATATTTTGGATGTTTGACTAATAATTAAAGAAATACATTCATTTATTTAAATACCTTAATGCTTAAAGTATTTAGTACTAGAGCATATCAATTAAAATATAAGGCAAAATTTAGATAATAAAATAGAAGTCAGTCTATTTTATAATAATCTATACTTTGTCCTTAAAGAAAGTGAATAAAATCCCCATGCTCATATATATAGAGCTAAGTATTCATAGTTTTAAATTATCATTTGTTCTTCATCATTGTGGGCAATCAAACAAAAAAGATAGTTGTATTATCTGCAATCTTTTAAAATTACTATGAAAATCTTCAAAAATATATACCAACAGAAAGTATGTTATAACTCATTCCACTTTAATTCTAAAGTTCCTAGAGTTCCTATCCAGGAAGTCTTCTTTCAATGAATCTGTCGCCCAGTTTTGATCATTTCCAATAACCTGTCAACTTCATTGCACCCTTTCCCTCCTCTATACTTTTTGGTAAAGTGAATCCCAAATACCATACTGTTTCAATAACATACATCTCTATAAAGGGATTTCCTTTATAGAAAATAAAACAAATCATCAGTACAATGTCTAACAAAATACTCTATCATCCGTAATAATTCAATCCTTCAATTTCTTTAGCTCAGCAATGATCCTTCTCATTTTTAAAAAATTTTATTTAATGTTATTTCTGAAGTCAAACATAAAACCTTCTTCTCCATGTCTGTCTGCCATTCAGCTTCTACCTAGAAGCCAGCTAACTATAGACCAGAATCGCGAGCCAAAAGAAATCACTTTCCTTTGGGCAGTTAGTGTTAGGTATTTTGATCCAGTGATGAGAAAGTGAAAACAGAAAAACTGATTTAACTCTGAAGCTGAAGCAGCCTATTTTATCACAAACCACTAAGTGGCTAGAATCAGACTTATATGACAGTATGAATTAGCTCAACACTCACCTGAGGGATAAAGATTCTGTTCCTCTGAAAATTCTAAATCAAGCATTAAGTCATCTTCATCCAGTTCACAAGATCCCAAATTATTTAAAACATCCTAAAAGAAAAAGCAAAACCTAGAGTCAGAGTCAAAATCACTGCAAAACTCAGAACCTGTTCACAAGCCAGGAAGCAGAAAGAAGTCAAAGCAGCAACAAAAAACATTAACTGAACCTCATAATTTCTCTGCATTTTAGTGACTAGAACTTATCAGTTCAGGACCGGAGATATAGCTCAG